ATGGTATGATACGTAGTGATAGTACCTCCCTGGGTGGTATGATATGTAGTGATAGTACCTCCCTGGGTGGTATGATAGGTAGTGATAGTACCTGCCTGGGTGGTATGATAGGTAGTGATAGTACCTCCCTGAGTGGTATGATAGGTAGTGATAGTACCTCCCTGGGTGGTATGATAGGTAGTGATAGTACCTCCCTGGGTGGTATGATAGTTAGTGATAGTACCTGCCTGGGTGGTATGATAGGTAGTGATAGTACCTCCCTGAGTGGTATGATAGGTAGTGATAGTACCTCCCTGGGTGGTATGATAGGTAGTGATAGTACCTCCCTGGGTGGTATGATAGATAGTGATAGTACCTCCCTGGGTGGTATGATAGGTAGTGATAGTACCTCCCTGAGTGGTATGATAGGTAGTGATAGTACCTCCCTGGGTGGTATGATAGGTAGTGATAGTACCTCCCTGAGTGGTATGATAGGTAGTGATAGTACCTCCCTGGGTGGTATGATAGGTAGTGATAGTACCTCCCTGAGTGGTATGATAGGTAGTGATAGTACCTCCCTGGGTGGTATGATAGGTAGTGATAGTACCTCCCTGAGTGGTATGATAGGTAGTGATAGTACCTCCCTGGGTGGTATGATAGGTAGTGATAGTACCTCCCTGGGTGGTATGATAGGTAATGATAGTACCTCCCTGGGAGGTATGATAGGTAGTGATAGTACCTCCCTGGGTGGTATGATAGGTAGTGATAGTACCTCCCTGGGTGGTATGATAGGTAGTGATAGTACCTCCCTGAGTGGTATGATAGGTAGCGATAGTACCTCCCTGAGTGGTATGATAGGTAGTGATAGTACCTCCCTGGGTGGTATGATAGGTAGTGATAGTTCCTCCCTGGGTGGTATGATAGGTAGTGATAGTACCTCCCTGGGAGGTATGATAGGTAGTGATAGTACCTCCCTGGGAGGTATGATAGGTAGTGATAGTACCTCCCTGGGTGGTATGATAGGTAGTGATAGTACCTCCCTGGGTGGTATGATAGGTAGTGATAGTACTTCCCTGGGTGGTATGATAGGTAGTGATAGTACCTCCCTGAGTGGTATGATAGGTAGTGATAGTACTTCCCTGGGTGGTATGATAGATAGTGATAGTACCTCCCTGGGTGGTATGATAGGTAGTGATAGTACCTCCCTGGGTGGTATGATAGGTAGTGATAGTACTTCCTGGGTGGTATGATAGGTAGTGATAGTACCTCCCTGAGTGGTATGATAGGTAGTGATAGTACTTCCCTGGGTGGTATGATAGGTAGTGATAGTACCTCCCTGAGTGGTATGATAGGTAGTGATAGTACCTCCCTGGGTGGTATGATAGGTAGTGATAGTACCTCCCTGGGTGGTATGATAGGTAGTGATAGTACCTCCCTGGGAGGTATGATAGGTAGTGATAGTACCACCCTGAGTGGTAATGATAGGTAGTGAAGTACCTCCCTGGGGGTATGATAGGTAGTGATAGTACCTCCCTGGGTGGTATGATAGGTAGTGATAGTACCTCCCTGAGTGGTATGATAGGTAGTGATAGTACTCCTGGGTGGTATGATAGGTAGTGATAGTACCTCCCTGAGTGGTATGATAGGTAGTGATAGTACCTCCCTGGGTGGTATGATAGGTAGTGATAGTACCTCCCTGGGTGGTATGATAGGTAGTGATAGTACCTCCCTGGGTGGTATGATAGGTAGTGATAGTACCTGCCTGGGTGGTATGATAGGTAGTGATAGTACCTCCCTGGGTGGTATGATAGGTAGTGATAGTACCTCCCTGGGTGGTATGATAGGTAGTGATAGTACCTCCCTGGGTGGTATGATAGGTAGTGATAGTACCTCCCTGGGTGGTATGATAGGTAGTGATAGTACCTCCCTGGGTGTTATGATAGGCAATGAAACTTTAAACGACATTTCGGTCCTACTTAAACCATTAAGTACTCACACCTAGTTAATGGTCCAAGTCGGACCCAAACATCGTCGTAAACTTCTGTCTCTCCTATGTTCGGGTCATTTGTGTATTGTTCCAGTCATGGTATTGTGACTTTTATATTCTTAGCTCAACCAACAGTCAAGAATGCTTTAATCTCAGGTATATAAAGACTGAGATATATACATTTACCGATGTATATACCCTGGTGCTTTCTCTGTTTACAAACACTTAAATACCTTACACGTAATTCGTAAACACCTGACCCACTCTCGTATGATCGCCCTAAACACCTGACCACGCTCGTATGATCGCCCTAAACAAAAGATGAGCAGTTAACAGCCACAGTGTAAACAAAAGAGGTGCTAGTGTTTAACAATTACTTACACTAGGTAGATTCGTCAGGTCAGGTCTGGGATCGGGCCGCGGGGGCGCCGACACTCAGATATACATCCTTCAGGTATTCTCTAGGTTACCTGAAGGATCATTGTACTATGGATGAGGATCATTGTACCATGGGTGATATAATGTCCCCTTGTTGAAGAATATAGAAATTGACAGTACAGTAACCAATGAGATACGTCAGGGTATCTTATTAATGAAGATAAGATACCAGACTTATTACTTGACTATCCTAAATGTTCTTGCAACAGATAAGTCAACTGCAGATATATACATGTATATATAAATGTTTTCCCGTTGAGCCTTTGTGGGGCCTAGTTCCTAGGCCTATTGTGTATCCATATGCTCTTGCGCTACCCTCCAAAGTATAGACATGGAGTGTACAGTGACCTAGCCTCTACCTGGGAGGGGGGAGAGGAAGGGGTGGAAGGACACCAGGGGAGGGGGAGGGAGGGGTGCCAGGATTCCCGAGGAGGGGTGCCAGGACTTCTGGGAAGGGGATGAAGGGGTGCCAAGATTCCTGGGGAGGGGGAGGAAGAGGTGTCAGGACTCCTAGGGAAGGGGAGAAAGGGGTGCCAAGACTTCTCATATGGAGGATCTCTTTATCCGAGGAAGTTGAGCTACCCTCCCTATCCTCGGAGCAGACATGATTGCCACCCCTTCCTGGCCCCCCCAGGAGCTCTTAAATCAGGGAGAAAATGTAAATTGTAAATGTAGATAAGATTTACGTAAAATCACAAACGGATCAACAATCATGCCAGAGTGCAAAACTTTTAACAGTCACATGACTGGATCAAATATTATGGCTGAGAAGTGAGTTCTTTGAGAGCTGAAGACTCAATACTCCGTGCTCACTTCTTGTTGCTTTCTCTACTGCTGAAGTTATTCTTCTCTTCTCTCTTCTTCTTCTTCTTCTTCTTCTTCTCCTTCTTCTTCTTCTTCTTCTTCTCTTCTTCTTTTTCTTCTTCGCTTCTTCTTCTTCTTCTTCTTCTTTCCCTCCTCCTCTCCGGCCAGGAGGGTGACAGTAGCCAGCTCAGGCTGGGGTTTCTTCAAACCCCCCTTCTCCAGATGAATCACCACCAATAGCACCACCAGCCTTCAGAGCACTCCAACAGTAGCACACCGCTTTTCACAGCATACCAACAGTAGACCACCACCAAAACAGCACCCCAAACAAATCACCACACCCTTACAGACACTAACAGCAGCACCCAGCCTTACAGAACACTAACACAGCACACCAGCCCTTACAGAACACTAACAGCCCACCAGTAGCACCACTGAATACACAAAGGTTTTCTGAAATTATATTATTTTTATATTATTTATTTATTATTATTATTTAATTATTATTATTATTATTAAGTGCTAAATCTTAAGGGTCATAGGCTCTACGGAACAATTGTTCAAATATGGAGTGGCATTTCTACCAGACTGAGGGACGACGGGTGATACACATTATGCGAACACCATATAAAAAACAAGTGAACTCCCAAGCTTCTGACTTCTACATTCTCACAGGGCCCTGATAAGTAAAATCACGAAAGCCCTTGGAACTTCACTATTATTTCCACAGTGTTGTTTTTAAAACACTGCATAGTTCCTGATGCGCACAGAGATTTGGTCGTCCAGCAGTCAAAACATGAGAGAAACTTGTCCCCGTCTCTGAAATCCCCCATCGTACCCAGGTAATATGCCCTTTCTTTATTTTAAGTTGTGTCAGCTGGCCTCACGCTGCTGAATGCTGCCAGCTTACTGTATACGGGTAAAATGGTGTCAGTCTTGCTCAACACAGCTAAAAGAGTGTCAGTCCTCTCAAAACACTAAAATGGTGCCCGTCTTGCCTAACACATAAAATAGTGTCATCTTGCTCTAACACAGCTAAATTGTGTCAGTCTTGCTCTAACACAGCTAAATATTTCCCGTCTTGCTCTAACACAGCTAAAAGAGTGTCAGCCTTGCTCTAACACAGCTAAAATGAGTGTCAGTCTTGCTCTAACACAGCTAAATAGTGTCAGTCTTGCTCTAACACAGCTAAATAGTGTCAGTCTTGCTCTAACACAGCTAAAAGAGTGTCAGTCCTGCTCTAAGACAGCTAAAATGGTGTCCGTCTTGCTCTAACACAGTTAAAATAGTGTCAGTCTTGCTCTAACACAGCTAAAATAGTGTCAGTCTTGCTCTAACACAGCTAAAATAGTGTCAGTGTTGTTCTAACAGAGCTAAAATGGTGTCAGTTTTCTCAAAACCAGCTAAAAGGGTTTCAACTTGCCCCTAACACAATAGAATAGTGCCAGTCTTGCTCTAACACAGCTAAAATAGTCTCAGTCTTGCTCTAACACAGCTAAAATGGTGTCCGTCTTGCTCTAACACAGCTAAAATAGTGTCAGTGTTGCTCTAACACAGCTAAAATGGTGTCAGTCTTGCTCTAACACAGCTAAAATGGTGTCAGTGTTGTTCTAACACAGCTAAAATGGTGTCAGCCTTGCTCTAACACAGATATAATTATCTCAGTATCGTTCTAACACAGCTACAATTATCTCAGAATTGTTCTAACACGACTTAAAATGGAAGCTATAATCCCTAAGTGTGACAAGCCACTCATGTCCATTAAAGCTATTATTTTTCCTCCTGGTTACAGGTGAAGCCACGACAAGCATCTTCAAGCTTCCTCACCTGAACAGGTATTGTAATCAATGCTTCCATTAAAACTCCCTTTGACGTATATAATGAATGTGTTCTCAAGTTTAAAAATCTTTGGTATCAGGACTTAATGTGCTGTAAGAGTGAGGGCAGTGCAGTATTTATGATGGAATTGAGGGAGTTTATATATATATATATATATTTAAAATATATATAATATAAATATATTTTTATTATATTGCAGGTACCTGTTACCAGGAAGCAGGTATCGTGCATTTGTTGTCAGCTTCCTGTGACTGTGTCCAGGAATTTCACACACCATCTCCTCCTCCCTGCTGCTTCATTTGCTGTGTCCTGCCTCACCTACACTCTAAATGGATATTTTACGAAGGAAAATTGATCTTATATACACTGATAAAGCTCAACGTTATCACCATCCACACTGATGAAGTTCAACTCTATCACCATCCACACTGATGAAGTTCAACTCTATCACCATCCACACTGATGAAGTTCAACTCTATCACCATCCACACTGATGAAGTTCAACTCTATCACCATCCACACTGATGAAGTTCAACTCTATCACCATCCACACTGATGAAGTTCAACTCTATCACCATCCACACTGATGAAGTTCAAATCTATCACCCTCCCCACACTGATGAAGTTCAACTCTATCACCATCCACACTGTGAAGTTTAACTCTATCACCATCCACACTGAGAATTCAACCCTATCAACCATCCACACTGATGAACTTCAACTCTTCACCATCCACACTGATGAAGTTCAACTCTATCACCATCCACACGTTGAAGTTCAACCTATCACCATCCACACTGATGAAGTTCAACTCTATCACCATCCACACTGATGAAGTTCAACTCTATCACCATCCACACTGATGAAGTTCAACGCTATCACCATCCACACTGATGAAGTTCAACGCTATCACCATCCACACTGATGAAGTTCAACTCTATCACCATCCACACTGATGAGTTCAACCTTCACCATCCACACTGATGAAGTTCAACTCTATCAAACCCTCCACACTGATGAACTTCAACTCTATCACCATCCACACTGATAAGTTCAACTCTACACCATCCACACTGATAACTTCAACTCTATCACATCCACACGATGAACGTCAACGCTTTTCACCATCCACACTGATGAAGTTCAACCTATACCATCCACTGATGAACTCAACGCTATCAACATCCAACATTGAGAAGTTTCAACTCTATCACCATCCACCACTGGTAGTGTTACGCTATCCATCCTCACGATAAGTTTCAACGCTATCACCATCCACACTGATGAACTTCACGTATCACCATCCACACTGATGAATTCAACGCATCACCAACCACCTGATGAATTCAACGATACACCATCCACATGATGAACTTCAACGCCATCAACCATCCACACTGTGAACTCAACGCATCCCATCCCACACTGAAGAACTTTAACGTATACCATCCACACTGATGAAATTCAACGCTTCACCTCCACACTGAAACTTCAACGCTTACTACCATCCCACTGATGAACTTCAACCTATCACCATCCACACTGATGAACTTCAACGCTTCACCATCCCACACTGATGAACTTCAACTTATCACCATCCACTTTAAGAACGTCCAACGCTACACCATCCCCACTGATAAGTTCAACGCTATCACCATCCACACTGATGAACTTCAGCGCTATCACCATCCACATTGATGAAGTTCAACGCCATCACCATCCACACTGATGAACTTCAACGCTATCACCATCCACACTGATGAAGTTCAACGCTATCACCATCCACACTGATGAACTTCAACGCTATCACCATCCACACTGATGAACTTCAACGCTATCACCATCCACACTGATGAACTTCAACGCTACACCACCACAACGATGAACTTCAAAGCCACACCATCCACATGATGAACTTAACGCCATCACATCCACACTGTGATAACTTTAACGTACACCATCCACACTGATGAACTTCAACGCTATCACCATCCACACTGATGAACTTCAACGCTATCACCATCCACACTGATGAACTTCAACGCTATCACCATCCACACTGATGAACTTCAACGCCATCACCATCCACCTGAATGAAGTTCAACGCTATCACCATCCACACTGATGAAGTTCAACGCTATCACCATCCACACTGATGAACTTCAACGCTATCACCATCCACACTGATGAACTTCAACCTATCACCAAACCACACTGATGAAACTCAACGCACACATCCACACTGATGAAATTTTAACGCTACACCATCCACACGATGAACTTCAAAGCTATACCACCACACGATGAATTTAACGATCAACATCCACACTGATGAACTTCAAAGATCACCTCCACACATGAATTCAACGCTATCACCATCCACCGAAATTCCGCTACACCATCCCCATGATGAACTTCAAACCCATCACCACCCACTGGAACTTCAAAGCTATCCCACACACGACGAACTTCAAAGCTACACCCTCCCACTGACAACTTCAACCTATCACCTCCCACGATAACGCAACGCTTCACCCTCCCATGAGAACTTCAACGCTACACCATCCACACTGATAACTTCAACGCTATCCCATCCACACTGATGACTTCAACGCTATCCCATCCACACTGCGAACTCAAACCCATACCATCCCCACGTGAAAATTTAACCTATCACCACCACCTGATGAACTTCAACGCTACACCATCCACATGATGAACTTCAACGTATCACCATCCCACTGACGAACTTCAACGCATCACCACCCCACTGAGAACGTCAACGTATCACCATCCACACTGCAACTTCAACGCTATCACCCTCCCCCGTGAACTCAAAGCTATCACCCCACACTGACGAACTTTAACGCTATCACCCCCCCACTGAGAAATTCAACGCTATCACCCTCCACACTGACGAACTTCAACGCTTCAATCACATGATAATTCAAGCTATCACCTCCACAGAAGAACTTCAACGCTTACCATCCCCTGGAACTTTTAAAGCTATTTACATCCACACGACGAAAAATCATAACAAGGAAAATAATTCCTTATAATAAAAAAAACAACTTTTGACCAAAAATCGTAAAGAAACGATTGCAAAAAAACCAAACCCCGTCGGGGGTTAAAAACCCGGGTCAGAGAGTCTTGCGGTCGGGGTTTTGAACTCCGATCGCGAGTTCTTCCCCCCCCGGGGATGGTTTTGTTACACTTCATCTAAATCGCTAATATTTCTATTATTTCTTTCAAATTTTTTTATTTTGGGTTTGGTAACAAAATAGTTTTATTTTGCATAGGGAAATTATATTCACTTCCAAAAACAACCCCGGGGGGGGAGGGGAGTTAAGATAGCTGAAAGGGCCTTTTGTGTTCAATTAATACATCATCAGAACCTGCATGTTGCAATAAAGAGAAAAACCGAATAAAAAAGTTCGGGTTTTTTTCCTTTCCTGCAACATTGCAAGTCTGATGATATGTGATTGCAACATGGAAGGCCTAGAGCTATCTTTCAACTCCCCCCCCCCTGTTTTTTTTTTTTTTGTTCTTTCATCACTTTCCCGGGTTTTTTTTTTTTTTTTAGGTGTTTTGGTTATTGAAGATCACTGATTTTTTTCCCCCTTGATTTTTTTGCAGCAGTGAATTTACCTCAATTTGGGCAAAAAAATCATAGGCCTGTAAAAAGGGCCCGGAGAGCCCGATCATGCTTTCTTTGCTAGTCACACTTTGCGTATCACATTGATGGGGACACACATGTCCTTTCGTGCGTCACATAGCAGTGTTCAACAGTACTTGCTGCAGTCCTACCATGTTACAACATGTACTTCGTCATCCATACCATGGGTTTCACACATTACTTGCGTGCATCACAACGCATGTGTACACACATTACTTGCTTACAATTACATCTTAAGACATGTAATAATCCCTTTAAAGAGAACCACAGGGATACAGACACATAGGGAAAAAATACACACGTAAACAGGGGAAACAAGAATGCATGTGATACAGGGTAAAAACGGGATACCCATAATAACGCATAAAACCCAGTAAAAAAACATACAAAACAGTACACATAGAAATACACGTACACACATTTATATACAGTACACACTTTGCACACATATACACAGAAACCCCAGTACAAAAACAGTATACACCCCGTTAAAACCAGACCACGTGAAACTTAGTATCCCTTTAACAAGTATACACACAGTATAACGTACACCCCGTGCACTTAGTATACACAGTACACACAGTATACCCAAATTAACACATTGAACTTTTTTTTAACACATACCCCACAGTATACACAGTGCAAAACAGTGCCATATTTTAAAAACCGGTCACACATTTACACATGGGAAAACAAGAAACCCCACATACAAAAGTAAAACACAGTCACACAGTACACACAGTATAAACAAGTACACACAGTAAAACACTTATACACAGGTCACACAGTACACTTTAGTTTCACAGTACCCCACAGTAACATGGGTATGCACAGTACACACGTATACACACAGTTACAAAAGAAAACAAACTTTTTCCAGTACAAACAGTTTTACACAGTATCCCAAGTAGACACGTCACACAAGTAAACACAGTAAAACCCCCGTACACAGTAAAAACACATTAAACATTTAAACACAGAAAAACCAGTCCCACACATACAAAAGTAAAACACGTATACACAGAAATACCGCAGTCCCCACAAAAAAGTACACAGTATACACAAAAAACACAGTAAAAAACGTATACACAGTACACGGGAAACCACAGTAACACAATACAAACAGTAGCACAGTGTACCATTAAAAAACAGACCACGTAGACACAGTAGACACAGTACAACGTACACACAGTAAAACGGGGAAAACACTGTACACACAGTACACACAGAAAACAGAGAACACCAGTGGGACCAGTAAACACAGAACCCACAGTAGACACAGTACACACAGTACACACAGTACCACGTTTTACAGAGTAC